TTTGTTTAATCACTCAAATGTTATCAGTTTCCTTTGTTGTGAAGCGCTTCAAGATTTGTCTAGGCAGATGAGAAGCGCTATATAAATGAAATGTATTATGTATTTATTATCTCCCTTACTGCTATTGAGTATTGGTGGTTGTATAAACACAATAATTCGTCGGGTTCCTCATATAACACCATAGTGCATCTACATCACTACAGCAGAATGTGACCTTCAGGACCGTTTCTTACAAGTTGCCTTTATCTGAAGGTTTTTTAATAGTGACGTTCATTTGACCTTCTTGGTTCAAGATGTTTATATACTGCATGCTTTCTCCATTAAATGCAAAAAATGATTGACCAAATCACACCTTATCGTGAAAACCTTATGTAACTGCACCCGTTCGCGCTGTGTGCCCAACCCTGCAGCCTGGGAAGCAGCATCATGAGTTTGTTCTTTCCCAGTATTCCAAATAACAATTAATTGATGGTCATTGGAAACAAGATAGAAAAAGCCTTATCATGGTTCAGGTCCCTAAAATGTGACACCATATTTATGTAAAGGGTATTTGGCAACACTACAAGTGTATAATCATGGGATCACACATATCCTCCATTGTAGCTAACTCTTACGTGAAATATTTCGAACAGATTTCATTGACTTGACATCTGGTCCAGGTATTCACTTGCTGCATTTAATGCATGACTTCTGTATCAACAGCTTTATCAATATCCTCAAGCTACATGTCAATTGAACTTGTGAGCAGGAGGATGGTTAGCAGGTGTTCCTCACTAACTTGTCAGTGGGGAGGAAGAATAAAGATGTTAGCAATCCCAATTTGGAACAGAAAGGGCTTTAATCTCCCCAAATATACAGCCACATGTTCCACTGATCGAGTTCCATTCTTATGATCCGAACCATAAAGGAAAACTGTCTGGCGAAGGACAGAAAGGGACATTTGAGACGTGGTGGAGCGGGAATGGTTAACATTAGGGGGTTTCCTGTTGCTACTGTGACTTGGATCTGTAAAAGGATTACAAAATAAATGGATGACTGGTTCTTTGATTGAGTTTTATTTTTTGATTGGGCAAGGTACATTACATTCTGTCATGAGTTAAAGATACGTGTCCTCTGTGGAACCTTGCTATATCTCTCAGTCTGAATCGGTATCAAAAATCTTCTTTTAAAGATCCCAAAACCAATATTCTAATAGCTTCCACATGAAGAAACATTTACCTGGTTTATGGTTAGAAAATGTTCACGTCACGTTCCATTTTGTATCAATCAGAATAAAGCAAGGTTTGAATCCAAATCGAATGCTTCTGTTGCTTGGCCACAGTCAGCTGCGATCCAACCACAGATTAGCTGGACGTCGATTTTGCAAATGTTATCGTTATTAAGTAATGTTGTAGAGAAAAACTGAAGATTTCAAAACAAGTTTTCAAAGGCTTTAGAGATGCCTTATTTTCTCTCCTGTTGGGTTATTATTTATTATTGGATTTATCCAAGGACTACAGTTTACTTTCAGAGAAAACTTTATGTTTTAATTGTTATCAAACTGATAAAAAAAAGGGTGAAAAACTTAATTAAAACACAAAAACTGTTAATTTCAGGCAAAATAAGACTGCACCTCCACATCATTTAATGGACATGTTTTGTCATTTGTCATTCATGGGCAAAGTGGACAGCAAAATATATATTTTACTCATGATAAAATGGTGACCAGTCCAATACTTTAGGTCTTCATTTCCAGACTCCATCCACTATAGCCTCTTTATCTTTCTGGATTTGTCATAACTCTATCTTTATTCGCTTTTAAAAATAAATATCACTAGTGTAACCCATAATAAGAGAGCCATAATACAGAAGAAAGGGCACCTTGTATTTGTTGGACAACTGCAAGTAGTTAAATATTCATGCAACTTTAGAAACATCTCTGGTTAGATCTCTAGGCTAACAATACACTTTATTCTTTATGAAATATCAATATGATTCTTCACATTCAGATTAAAGTTTTTTCTTCATGTAAATTAACAGTTAATAGATTCTGTCATGAAATACGCTGATAAATCATATCTTCAGTCTGTACAATAGAGGTACTAAAAATTACAACTGTCATGGTATATGTACAATTTCCTACCTACAAAGTACAACAGCTAGCATGTAATAAAATATGTAAACAAATGTCTTGTTTTTTGACATAGTTGACTGTGACAGTAGATAGAAGTCACACTTTCAACATTAGATTTATTTCTGTATACACATTTGTTAACAGTTTGTAGTACTGCATTTGTCTTCCACCTGACACCTTCATAGAAAAAGAGAACGACAGGCAATTAATCAACATACAGTTTTGCAAAAAGATAAAACCACGACTGGCTGTGCATTGATAGACCTTTTTTAAATAGATATTTTTTTCATTGGTTAACACTTTTCAGGGGTTTAATAGTAGGAAGGGGTTGAGTTCTGATCTTATCATGAAGAACTGTTTGGCATTAAGTCAAGAACATGGTCCCAGTTGAAAACTATACGGGACTGGAAAGTCTGGACTGGACTTTACTGTCGATTTAGGATGGCATGCATTTTACAATCTGTTGCTTTTTACCAAAAGAACCGGCCGGGGGAATAGTCTGTCAAACACTAAGAATAATTGTTGTGAATCAGAGTAGAGTATGAGATCTGCCCATGGCCATTTGCTCACTTAGTATCATTTTATACACAGACATAGTTTTCTTTTCTTTTCTTGCTGTTCTTTTTGTCATTTTTTTCCTTTTGCTCAAAGCAAAAAAAAAATAGACACCACACTTGTATTATGTATAAACCATAGAAAAGTCATCCTTTGATACAACAGGAGTCCTCTTTTACGTTCACACTGATGGTGTGCCTGACCCCCTGTTGTTAAGCACTACGTGTTGCTTACATGCTGAAAATGTATAAGATTATGAGCCTTTTGAAGTTGACAATTTTACAAAAAGGTTTTTTCTTTAATGCCAGAGATCACATAGCTCTAAAAGTCACTTAGGAGAATGATGTAGCTTTGAAATATTTCTCTACTGATAACGTCTCTGACCAGATAGAACGTCTAAAGTTGCTATTTAGCCTTGTTGTTATGCTTACAATAGTAAGTGTGCTTTATATTACAGTACATATCATCAGTTTAACTACTCAGCACAGTATAAGATTATTCAAGTTCCATGTTATACCATCATTTGTCATAGCTTCTCGCAAGGAAACTGATAAGGAAATGTTTTTTTAGTGCTTTCTTTCTTCTCTCGCTCTCATATGAACGATAGTCTCACAGTCACACATAATACTCCTTATCCTTGTTTTTCTGTTTCTTGTTGCTGCCTTTCAAGCTCTGCTGTTTGTCCTTCATGACAGCGCCATTGCTCTGCACAGCTGAGTTGGTTATGTAGTTCCTGCTCTCGTCCACCTGGTAGGAGCCCTCATCCCTGTTCCTGTACTTATACATGGCATACAGAAGGATGAGGATGCACAGGGCAGCGGCCGCCACTATTCCGATGACCATCCCGGTGGTGCTGCTAGATTCACGGACCACTTCCGAGGGTCCTGGAACTCGCCTGACGCCCGGCTCTGTGGGGAGTGCTGTGGGTATTATGGAACATTGGGGAGGTTATTAATGGGCCCCTCAGCTTGGTGCTGTCTACCTCAAAGGATGTGGGCAATGGAAGCAACACTAGGTCGGGCTGGGGTTTTAGCTCGCGGTTATTCATTTTGCCAGACGGCTGTTTGGCCGGAGCATTGTGGAGGGTTGCGGTGGAGGCAGAGGTGGCGGTGGTGCGGCTCTGGTCGGCGGTTAGTAGTTAGTAGATAGTGGTAGTCCTACCGCGTCTGGAGATTGAAGGTTTATTAGGTCTAAAAGTCTTGGGTGCGTGAGATTTGTAGTCACCTTCAAAGCCTGACGTGGATAAGGTCTGATATGTTACCAAGGAGAAGGTCGTGTAAAAATCTTCGTCATCAGTAGGGGGCAGGTTAGACTTGAACGCTTCCCCAGAGCCATACCCCGATATCACCAAGCCATCATCATCACAATCATCGCTGCCTTGGTCCGACAAGCAAGGTACCCCCGCCTCAGTGGCCTCGGACAGGGACTCTTTGGTGGTCTCAATAATGGTGAGGAGTGGGTGGTGGGTTGAGGGGGAGGGAATGAAGGGTGCACGAGGAGCTACAGAGGGGGATGCTAATGGATCCTGAAGTACTGGGATGACTAACTCAGCTCCTGGAGTTGGACAGAGACAGGTAGGCAAGTCAGATGGCAGCATGTGTGTTTCAGGAAATATTCTTTAAGCACTAAACAGTCAACAAATCAACCCAAATCCATTGCAAATAAACTTAGCATATCAATTGCAGACTGCTATATCAAGACAAAATGAAGTCAGCATATCTTATTTATTTAAATAGGGTTAAGAGGTGAGCAAGGATGAGCCAGAAAAATCAAGTTTGCTTTTTGAATGTGCACATCATAGTTAGTTATTCTGGGTTCAATCTGATTTAATACACTATTTTAATTAAGTGGTAACAGTTAAAATACGAATAAAAAAAACTTCATTTCATAGCAAATGCATTCAAATGAATACAGATTTGTTTAAAGTATAACCCAAACCAAAATGTGCTTTCATAATAGAATCAATTTAGTTAGAGCAGTTTCACTGATCAATGGATCTCCGTTCATCTCACACCTGTTACTTATTCTGGTAAAACAGACGGTTGTTACAGTTCTACAAACACTTCTCAGATGCAGAGCCGTTCTGAATGTGAATTGACTGAGAGTTGGGGCTATTAGTAGCCATGTTGAAAAGGTAGGATGGAACTGTTTGGAGAAATCCCAATAAGAGACAATTACTGTAAGATAAATCCTCCATCAATGCATCGGATCCAATGATGATGTCTTTATAGTGAAGAGCACAGTTCAGGACTGATTTTGAAATGGATGCACAGTGCAGGCATTAGTCATGAGAAATGACAAAAAGTTGTATATAAAGTCAACAGTCCTTGTTGCCACGCAGAAACCATTTTAGGGAAACTGAATAACAGAAGACATTTCCGGAAATTATTTGTATCAGTTTATTTCATTGAAACCTTTCCATTTGATAATTTGTATATATATATATATATATAAGTATTTGTCGATATATATATATCGACAAATACTTTCATTCAGTGAATGCTCAACAGCTTCATGTCACAGACTCTGAGCTGCAGTGTGATGAACTGGTTTCGGTCAGTTGATTGTTTAATTCACGTATATTACATAACTGTAACATGTGTGGTTACTTCAGGAATAGTTTGATGACCATTGGCCGCAATACATCTGCCTTGCTGTGGAATTTAACTGTTATACTCACTGCTCACTATTAATGATTATTGGGTGTCACACATTTGCTGCTTTAGGGTTAAAATGAAACTTTCCCAACACTAAAATTCAAGAACAACTGAAGGCTTCTGGAGGCAACATCCCAACACTGCAATAACACTGCTCTGTGTGTTCCCGCTTTACAAGCTTCAGATGTACATCTTACTGTAAGTCTTTCTAGATTGTTGGAACTACTTCAGTTATAAAATATGAATAGCTATTTTTCTGTGTCATCCTTTAACGCTCAACAGCCCATTTTAGCAAACAAAAGAAGAAGTAGATATCCTGGTTACAGGGCGCAGTTGTTTTTTTTAAGATTTTTTTTTTAATTTAATTATCATGGAGATGTCATCTAAGGCAAGTATAATTGGAGTGAACATTGATTAGAAAAGTAACCATGCGCATAATGAATCTCTGCATATTGTATATCTATGAAGCAAACATACTCACAAACTATCACCAACACGCACATTCACAAGCACAACTCTGTAGCTCCAGGCACTTTAATCTACAACCTTTAACAATCAAACACTTATAAACCTCATTCAGTTTTCAATGTCCACAGCTTAATCCAAGATGCAGTTTGTAAAATGTAATACTATCTACTTCAAACAGATGTTTGTAGTAGGTATTACATGTAACATTTAGTGTTCATTCAGAGTATTACTCATTCACACAATAGTTTCTATATATTTAATAATGAAGTTATGTGCAATTGCTAAAAATGCTACATATAGCACCTACCATGAGCATTACTCAGTTGCTCTGATTTTAAAATGACCAAGTATACATATTTAAGATCATCACATTTTACAAACTGCACCTTTAAAAAACATTTCAAAAGGTAGATTGAAGAAAAAAAGTGTAAATTGTCAACTTACATCAACAAATTGCCCGCATGATATAGGCATGAAAAAGAATTTACAAAGGAAAAGTTGTGTAAGAATGTTGGATAGCCGCTTGGTACCGTTAAAGATCATTTTTATCCATTGTAGATTGTGTTCAATCTTAAAACACGACGGTACAGGAGGCAACAACACATACATCCACAACACATAACATAAAAAATAAACACCATAATTCTGTTTTTTTTCTGGTAAATAATTTGTCTTTTCAAAAAATGTGTACTTACATTTTTTTTCATTGTAATAGACTTCAATAGTAACTCAAATATATTCATGTTACAGTTTTTGCTTGGATTGTAATTTGATCTTTAGTGTAGAATGGATGGATGACATTATACTTTAATATCTCTAAAGACAAGGGAGAAGGTGAAGAAGGGGGGGGGGCTCTGAACATACTACATAGGAGATGAGGGTGATGAGGGTGACAGTGTAAGTCAGTTGCCATGTCCATGTAAAGGCAGTACGAAGCGGTCGGGCGGCATTAGAGCTTTTGGCTGTAAGGAAGGGATGGGGATATACAAACAATGAGCAATATACATGCCCATCTACAGAAAAGAACAGAAGAACTCTAACACTGACAAGTCTGACAAACCCTAAACTGCAACTTCTTCACCATGCAATTCATTTGTTTTTTGTCTGACACTCAAAATATTATTCAGCAAAGATTCATTTGTTTTGTCAGAATATATTTAAAATTAAAAACAATTAAAAAAATGGAAGATAAGTGAGAAGTGGATCCGGAACTGCTTCACCTTCTAATGTGTGGGTTTTTGCATATTGACGAGCAATCTCTGTCCCTGTTGTTGTTTTGAATGTTTTTGTTTTATACTCAACATTTAACTTCAGGAAATAATACAGTCGGAAACAAAAAACCCACAAGTTAGTCATTGAAGTAGTTCCAAACCTCCCAAAAAATATAAATATATCAAAAAATATATTTCACACTGTTATTCAAATATTATCTGATTGACAAAAAAAAAAACTAAACATACTTAATAAGCCAGAAACCATAATCAGAATCAAAATGCCAGTGATTAATTGGATAAATACAAAAAAATATGACCCATTTAAACTATCAAATGAAAAATATTAGGATGAAATAACAAAGCCAAAATTTAGCACACACTACAACCAGATGCACACAATATAAAACAGAGGGTGGTGAGAGAGGTGCTCGGCCGGCGGGCTCCTCTCTCATGTGAAACTCCATCTGTAATGTTAGTCTTTAAACATGACGGCCGTGCAGTCTGGGTGTACATCAGAGAGAGACGGTACTGGCTGACAATGGGATATAGTTATTATTTTGGTTTTGTTTTAGTTGTACTGCCGGATGTTGATGCATGCTTAGAGTAAGTTGCATTTAGGGAAAGTAGAAAATAAACAACACAGCAAACTGGGAGAAGGTAAGACTGACTAATGTTAGAACAATATGAAATGGACACTGTGTCCCAATCCCTTACTATACATAGTGAGTTAAGTGAGTGTAAGAAACAACATGTGACACTCTTGATAAATATGTGTGCAGACAGAAGTCAGTGAAGTAGAACTGTGTAAAGATGCAGCCTCCTCTGTTTCTGTCGGCATCGCATTACAATGTGCAGCAGCACACTAAACATTCACTGAATTCTGTTTGCGAACTGTCATGTACAAAGCAGTTTGCCAATGTTAACACATAACCTCCCCGACCCAAAGAACTAAGCAATAAAACCCCGGTTATTATTGTGCAGTATGCGATTGGGACACAGCTCAAGTTAAACTAAGCAGTAGAGGGACAAAATCATAACATAAAACATGTGTTAATAATATATAGTCACATGCTATATGTTTAATGCAATTTACTGAGGATTCAAGTATGATAAAGAGTAAAAAGACAAGCAGAAAGCTGATATCCATAACATTGTGCATGGTTGAAGATGGAGTGGTGGTTTGTGTAAAAACCTGCCAGAGTAAACTAATGACAATCAATACTGATGCACTAAAGCTGTTAAATTTGATGCATGAAAATACAAACACGTTATAAAGAACATGAACCCCAATGTTGGCACTGTCAAACCATGACAGGTGGCAATACATGTGATTTATTGTACTTATTGTAAGTCACTTTGGATAAAAGCGTCAGCTAAATGCTATGTATTGTACGTGCCTTGTTATACAGTCGACAGACTAACAAACCCCCCAGTGTCAGTGAACTTCTATCCACCATGGCGTGCAATGAATTTGCCTCCTTCACTGACAACATTCTGAAAATATGACAAGCAGTCAGTGCCTCTGTATCAGGCACAGCAGATGTGTTGTCCCTGTGTCCACTTAAAATCAATTTAAACACCATGACACAATTCCATCAGATTAATGATAAAAACCTAGAGGACATTATTCAACTTCTGAAATCCTCCTCCTGCTGCCTTGATATTATTCCAACAGAATTGTTCAAAGATGTTTTGCCTTGCATGGCCTCAGATCTACTTCATATAGTAAACAAGTCTCTTCACTCAGGTGTTTTTCCACAGGCCCTGAAAACTGCAGTCATTAAACCACTCTTAAAAAAGAATAATCTAGATGCTTCAGTAATGAACAATTACAGGCCCATATCAAACCTCCCATAGGTAAAATCATTGAAAAAGTTGTTTTTCAACAGTTGAGTAACTTCTTGCATTTAAATAACTGTTTCGATGTGTTCGAGTCAGACTTTCGTCCAAACCACAGCACTGAGACTGCTCTTGCAGAGGTCTTCAATGACATCCACTTAAACACAGACAGTGGCAGAACTTCAGCTGCGTTTGAAACTGTTGACCACAACATATTACTAGACTGGAAAACTGGGTGGGACTTTCGGCAACTAAATTGGTTTGAATCCTACTTAAAGGACAGAAAAAACGTTGTTTCTATAGGTAAATACACATCTGAGTTGACAAATATGACATGTGGGGTACCTCAAGGCTCCATCTTGGGGCCTCTTCTCTTCAACATCTACATGCAGATAATGAAAAACGACGAAATAAGCATA